AATAGAGAAAGTTCAGGGAACCCATGGTCATTGGCAACCCTCATAAAAAGTTTGTACAGTTGTAATGTAACATTTCGTTATTTACAATGGCACAGAAAGGGAATTACACATATTTCTAAGCTTTACACGATAGAGGGGTTAAAGTCCTTTTCGGCCCCCCAGACGGAATTTGCACTCTTCCCACAATTTAAATTTGCATATTTACAGATTAAAGCTCTTTTGTCTAACAACAATTTATATGTAAGACACTGAATAACTTGAAAGATAGACATGAAATTTGAAGAGATGTGTATAGCACTTACCCTACCTAGGAAAGTATTATCACTCTGTTATAATACTTTAACAAACCCAAGAGAAACAGCAACACCAAAATTTAAGATAGATTGGCAAACTGATTTCCAAGAAACTATATCAGAAGATGAATGGAACAACATTTTTACGGCACATATGGGAATGTCATCATGTACAGCACACTTTGAAATATCACAAAACATTCTATACAGATGGTATATGGTACCCACTTGCCTTCATGCCATTTACCCTGAAATACAAGATACATGCTGGAGATGCCACTCTTATAAAGGAACTATGTTACATATATGGTGGACATGTGAAAGAGTTAACAGTTTATGGAGAGAGGTTGAAACAATGATTCAAGAGGGACATCTTATAAGTTGGATCACACACCAAAAATGTTACTTCTCAAAGTTTTTCCGGACAACATCACTAAATCTATGTGTAAACTGATATTTTTATTATTATCTATAGTGTCAATTCTCATAGCTAGAAACTGGAAGACCACAAGCTTACCCTCAATAGATGAAATTAAAGCATTAATGTCTTTGACTACAGATTATGAGCTTACCATGTGGAACCAGACCAAAATTGGGAAACTAAGCCTAAAAGTAGCTAACTGCTGGAAAACCTATATACAAATATAAGAATGATATAAGCTTAGTAGACACATGATGTATACATTCAGAATAAGATTCAAGGAATTAAACCCATTTTCTAGTTACTATCAGAATATAACTCAGTAAAAATTAATAAAAATCAATAATAACTTTTAAACTTCGGTTTAGCCCCTTGGGGACCAGGCTTCTGGAGTGAAAGGGAGTCGTGACATGTCACACATGTCGTGTGTCGTTGAGGGGTTAAATGATCTTCTATTACTCACCCAGGCCAAGCTAAAATATAATCTCAGATATACATAATAAGTAGGACATATAATCCATTTGATAATAATAAGCAACCAAACTAAATAAATATAAGTCTCTACTATTAGACCGGCTTAAATATTTGAATGCTATGGAGTGAACCTTCTCCTGTTTTCCCTTTCTCCTTTCTCGTAGTCTTCAATATATCCTGAGGGAAATTACAGAGTGGACACAGTAGTACCCACTAGGTTAAATACAATAAATATGGACAGGATTTATATACTCGTTATTAAAATGCAATATGATGAATGCATAATATTGTATGAACAATTGTATTGCTAAACTGATTATTCAACGCTACTGACTGTATCCCCATCCCTTTTTCCTTTCTACATCCCTTTCTTTTCTTTTTTTTTTTTTTTTTTATAATTTGGAAAAATAAAGAAAAAATGCAAATTACAAAAAAAGAGAAGAGAAGAGGATCCCCTACAAATGGGGCTTCCCATTCAACCTACAAGCCAGAAAGGATAATCTTTAACACACCTTGAATTGGCCGAACGATGTGCCTGGATTCCTGAGGACCCTTGGACTCCCAACCTTGAGGATACCCAACTGGATCCTCATGGGCCCGCCTTTGCAAGCACCTCACACCGGGGTAACCGTACCAGCACCACCACCAGCAGAACGGGGCATCCCCCTGAGGAGACAGGGTGGGCCGGATAACTTTGAAGAATGGCATACAGGACTCTCCGACATCGACAGGATCTCTGCCCACGTTATATGACCCCTACAGAGCGGTGTAGACCCATACATACTACGTACAGAGCCTTAAAGACAATGGTAACAGTAAGTACACCCCCCCTGCCATGTCAGTTGGCCCTGGGACCCTGTGTCTGGACTGGCCCAACCAGGCGCCCTCTATTTTCGGCAACCCACCACGTTATGTTTAAGCCACGCGGTCTAACTAGTGGTCCCCCACCCCAGTATCACAGGAGACCGGGAATACATGGATTGTATTCACACGGGTGCCTTTGCTTGATGGAGGGAGCTCTGGGACACTAAGCAAACACCCTCTCCAAACAATAACACATGGCAAGAACCGGCCTCAACCCCGGCTGCCTACGAACCATGACGACCAATAGCCTGGTGGGCCTTGGAGTGATCTCTTTCTCAGCCATACTGGCAAACGCTCAGGGAGGGCATGCAAGGACTGTTTGGGAGGGGATGTATGGGCTTAAGGTTGATGTGTATTGGCCTGGCGGGTTGTTGGGTGGAAGGCAGCTTTTTGGGGACCGCTCGGCTGGTGTGGCTTGGGCCCGGATGTTGGTGGGTCGTGGAGTTGCCTGCCTGAGTTGCCCCAGCGCTTTTTTGCTTACTTACTATGTGGGTGGGTACCTCCTTGCCCTGGAGAGCCGCCTGGGCCAGCCCCGGGCCTGCTAGGGTGGGACGCATTGGACAAGTACTGGGTCCTGATTGGAAGGGAACAGAACAAGCACACCACTCATTAGGCAGTCTGGGCTGGCCCAAGATCCCCAGGACCCTCAGGCACCCCTAGCAGACATGAAATCAGGTAATAAACGCCAGGCGTTGCAGATAACCCCTCCCTCCCAGGTGACAATGGAGACACAAGAGCACTCAGTAACGGCGCAGGGAAGCCTAGACGGGGAGCTCCTTCCAGTTAGCCCATAGATAAGAAGATGCACAGCCAGCCTCCTGCACTGGAGGACCCCCCCCCACCAAAAAAAAAAGAATCTACACAAAATATATATACTTGATGCAAGGTGACACTAGGAGAGTCCTTGTGGCAAAAGTAACCTCGCCACTTGTACTTGGAGATGCCTGCTTGCCAGCCTCTTGCCCTGTGACTATGGCCCCTGGGATATATTGCCCTTTAAAAGCTCTATTTGGGCATATTGGATTTTAAAACACTTTTTCTGTCCCTTTAAATCCATGGGAAAATATGCCTCTTCCCCTCCCCCTTTTTCCTGTCCTATTGTTTGTCCAATACCTAGGGACACTGCCAGACCAGTTTAAATTGGCTGCTTTGTCCCTCCTCAGTTTCCTCTCAGCTCTTGCTATTTTCTGACTCCACCCTTCCTTGTACTATAGGGCACTTTTAACATTGGACATATTGAGCACTCAGATTCAAGCTATCTGGGGATATGTTGGACATATAGGTTAAACATTGTATTATAAGAGTTGTGTATTTTTATGTGGTTTTTGTAACAGTTTCTGACTTAGAGATATTTCCTGTAACTGGAGATAATTAAGTTACCACAGCCACTTAAGCCAATTATCTCCAGGGCTTGTGTGCTGGATGTTGGAGTGTCTGACATTGTTGCATTGTTTTGATTTGTTTATGTCCCTTGTGTGTCTGTGTACCATCAGGTCCAGGGGGTGTGCCTTTGGCCTGAGGAATTGTATAAATTGTGAAAGCTTGCTTACATTAAACAGACCTGCTTGACCCCTTCATGAAGTCTTGGCTCATGTTTGGGGGATGGGATAACTACATTCTTGGGGATTGCTATAATCACAATACTCCCCTGAATATAAGCTCTTGTAAGAGCTTTTTCCTGCTACACTCTCTGAAATAGGAGAGGTCTACTCACTGGAAGCTGGATCCTGGCCTTGGGTCCAGGGTGGGTGGAGGACGGCGAGAACCTGGAGCAGCTGCATCACTGGAAGTGGGGACTGTAGGGGTTATGGTGTCTGGTGGAGTGCTTGGAGTCCTTGGCAAGCACTAGGAGCATTGTTGGACGAAGGCACCCAGTCAGGGTGGCAGGAGGTCCGTCACAGTCCTGTTGCCACCTTTAGGCCTAGACCACACCCCTGCCTGCTGGTTACAGGGGAGCTCATATTTAGGTTTGTTAAGCTTGGTTTTGTTTCTTTCACTGTTGTAATATATTGTGCTGCATTGGTACAGGTTATGGGGAGCTAACACTGTTCAAGTGGGCAGGATGTAGACGAAGTCCTCCCCAATCTAGTTTGTAAACCACTTCCCCCACATGAGGGACCCACTTTGTACATTAGGCGGGGACCTGTGTGAGAGCAGGCACACGACCGACGCACTCACCCGGACCATACAACCAGGGTCTTTGTAACCTGACTCTGACATCACTACCTTGACTTTCTCCTCCCCACCAGTGTAAGAGAGCCAACCCACACCATACCAAGAGAGAGCATGGAGGGGAGGAGTTCCCCCACCCCCATTTTTAATTTTTTTTCTCATCTTTCTCCCTCTCTTCCCCTTCTTCCTTCTGCCCAGGTCTCCAGGTTACCCCCACAATCCCCACCATGGCAACTGGACACCGCTGCAGTTATGGTCCATCAATACCAGGAGACTTAACATACTTATCGTCACATAGGGTGTCTGTGACACTGCTACAAGAGACACATTTTTGGGCCGATAGTGCACCAGTGCCCTGAGATAGACTATACCCCACTGATTTCTTTGCCCACCACCCTAACGCCAAACGAGCAGGAGAGGTCATACTCTTTGCACAGACAGTACCCTTCCAATGCACCGACATGCAAGCAGACCCCCTGGGTAGATAACTCTTTGTGTGGGGCACCATTGCTGACTGCAAATACACCTTTGTGTCACGTATTTGTCCGCTTATAAAAATGTGATTAATGGCATTTACTGTCCACACAGGAAAAGATGTGCCGAGCAGCAATCTAATTCACAGAAGGGTTAATGCTGAGCAGCAATTATGCAAATAGAAACCTGATAACTGCCTTTGTGGTCAAAGGCTGGTTACAGCCTATCAGATCTAGAGGAGGGGTATTTAGGCCCAGTTCTCATCCTGCTCAGTGCTCTGTCGTGGTTTCCATTGTGGTTGTCCGAGAGCGCGTTCCTGATTCAAGTTTTTTCTGGCTTTTGACTTTGGCTTTGATTTTGACTTCCCTGTATTCTGTATCCCTGACTTCCTCTTTTCATTGTGTCTCTTTCTGTATCCCCTGACCTCGCCAAGTATCCTGACTATTCTTTGGTTCGTTAAGTCCGGCCATTCTAAGGCCCGGTAATACGTTTCCTATTAGTCATCTGTGTAACACAATTCTACATGCTGGATCAACCAGTATTCCTGACACTTTGCTACCATCTATTGCCCCAACCAGGGACAACACATATTCCTTACTAAGACCCTAGCATTCCTGGAGAGGTTCCGAGACTGACTTGTGGTCCTGGCTGGAGACCTTAAACTACCCCTGGACCCACGGCTAGACTCCTCTAGAGGCATCAGCACAGTGCCTCCACATTGCATACGAATTCCTCCCTCTGCTCCTCACCTTCAAACATCAAGCCCCACTGTAACTCAGACCACGCACCGATTTTGGTCACTATCAAATCCCTCCTCCTCGAACCTCTGGAATTTCAGTGGAAACTGAACGAGAATCTACTGACTGATATAGAACACATAGAACAAACTAGTTGGCTCAATTTTTCGAGACTTACGCCAAACCCCCTCACCATTTGGGAGGCACACAAATGCCTGACACTTCATCAAGACAAGTTCACTTTGTAAAAAGGAAGACATAAGGCAAATGACCAGTCAAATAATGGATCTTGAGACGCTACACAAACTAGCACTGTCAGGCGAGGTTTATTTCTGACTGACAGACACATGGCGGCAACTTGGAGGCTTACTGAACCAAACACTTCTACATACGATTTGGAAATCTAATAGATTTTTTCTTTAAATATTCCAACAAATGTGGAGACTCCTAGCCCGCTTGATACAACAAAGGCAGAAGCAAGTCCATATACACAAAATTAGAGATCACGCTCAGAAAGAGAAAAGATTTTTAGCCGAAATCTTACTGGCGTTCAGAGCATACTGCAATGAACTTTGTACCAACCCTTTACCATAGAGGAGTTGAAGCAGCTCTTAAAGTATCCAAGGCTAATAAAGCCCCTGGACCGGACGGCCTTCCGGTCAACTACCTATGCACATATAAGGATATTTTGCTGCCTCATCTCCTTATGGGACTGAACTCCATCCTATCAGGAGGACAGCTCCCTGAAGATACCCTATGAGCGGTGCTCACTGTGATCCCTAAAGAAGGCAAAGTTACCGCCCCATTTCGCTCTTAAACGCGGACCTCAAGCTCTTCGCCAAAACCATGGCCCTCTGACTGACACACATCCTTCCTGACGCAGGGAGGCAAGGGACAATATCATCCGTGCCCTCTGTAGGATATGAATATCCATTTTACTTAATATCCTAGCTGTTCATATAAGGGTTAATTTGAACCAAGAATAAATTTGGAATTCTATCTCCGATTCTCGAAAATAAAATTAATCTAAAATCCTATTTACGGGATATGTTCTTGGACAAGGATTTTTACATGAGATGTTCTTGGATAAGGATTTTGGGATGTTCTTGTTAATTGTCCAAGATTTTGGTATTTGTAATCATCTGGGTTTTATCCAATATGCATACATTATATAACACTGAATTATAACTAGAAACAGCTGTTTATAACTTGTGAAAAACAAACTATGTCACTAATGCTCATTGCCACCACCGACATGAAAATGGGGTATAAATATAACTGGCGTATGAATACAATTTGAATTGGTTATTGAACACGTCTCTGCTATTCATTTCCAATTTCCAGAGCTCTGAATGAGTTGGCAAATATCCATCATCCACAAAGGGCCCGGGCTGATTTTATCCCCAACAAACTGGTGTCAGAAGTTTGGGTGCAATTGGGAATGAAAATTACAGGTAAGAGGATCTTTAGGGACCTTTACCTGCTTCTGCCATCCTCCCACACATTGCATTTCTTGTTTTAATGGGGTTTTTCACTATTTAAATTTTTAAAGGGGATTTTCACAGGATAATGTCTTTGGTAGACATGGTATTTTTTTAAGTCTTAGGTAGACTTCTATTACTCCTTGGGTTGGAGGAAAGTCTAGACAATTCCTCTTAGGTAGAGGTTCACCTTTGGCAGGTGGTAAAATGATTTTCAAGCCTTTGGCAGGCTGTCATGTCATGTGATGTAATGTACATGTACATGTGAGTTTTGTAGACTAAAATGGTTTAGAAAAAAAAAAGGGGGGTTAAAAGGGAATATTGTTTAAACCCTGTATGATGGATGTTTGGCATTACTCCGGCTTGCTACTTTATGTGCTATTTTATGATGTGCAATGCTGATTTTAAGCATAAAGTATTAATTGAGGGAATGTATAGAGTACATGTAAAGGTGATGATGAATAAGAAAAAAAAATAAAAAATTAGAGGTTATTTAAGGGGGGCTACAAATTCTAGAACTAACATGATTTCTCTGCATGTATGTTTGTTTGCATAATGAGCCTTTATATACTTGGACAAAAGTACTATAAGCCCACTACACTTTTTCATGAGAGTGGGATGTATGATTGTTTATATGATGAACCCTTTATTTTCATTTTGGGACAAAAAGTCACTTCATTAAAAACGTCAAACACTACATTCTTTCTGCCCTGTGTATATTTTCAGCGGTCCAACACATGCTTCATTTTGTGCTATAAGCTAACTTGTAGTATTCCAGTACGTCACATGTTGTATGTGCTTTAAATTGTATGTATTCTGTGAATTGTTGTATGGGGATGCTGAGATTTTATTGATTGTGACCCAAACTGTGAAGAAGTAGGTTTGAAATTTTGGTCATGAAATATATGATCAGAAAACCATGGGCAAAGGTTTTTACCTGTGTTGATATGACTTTTGGGAACTCAAATTGACCGGTCAAAATTTTGCTTTAACATGGAGTAGTATAAATATTTTGAGTCTTTGAGAGTTCTGATAAATGCAGGTGATACCATGTCTGTGTAATCTGATCCAAATGTTCTATAAGCGTATAAGAGAGAAATTCTATTGACGGGTTACATATGTTGCAACTGGTTAATGTTAGTGTTATACAAATGTTTAAGTCAAACGCGTTATATGGCCGTACGGGATCCCTTCTTTAAAAAGAAAAAAAGAAACCCTTTGGTACCAGAACTCTTAAATAAATTTCATACAAACTAAAATTGGTATACCTTACAATAATATGTTCTGAATACAGCTGTTATAAATTTATTCTGTGTGAATGGAGATTGTGATAAATGTGTGTTTTGGTTACTCATTTTGAAGTATGCAGCTTAATTGTCATGTATGTCAATGGGTATTTTGCTGTGTTATTTTAAATTATATTTGAATAACTTTGTCTCAGTATTGATACAGATGGAAATGGCAGCGTAATAATCTATTAAATAACTGATTTATTATTGAATATTAGTCCAAGAGCAATATGAGTTGTAGTCTTAAGAAAGAAAAAAAGGGGAGGGGAGTCTGTTTTTGTAAGTTTTAGCTGATTTCCAAAATTCTGTTGCAATAATGGACTTCCTGCCAAAATTTGACTTTCCTGTCCAGTTGCCAGGTGCTCTGATCTAATCTTAAAGCAATACTGCTTGCATAGTTTGCAGACATGCATAATGCACAAACATGGGAACCTACATTACACGTATTAATTTATTTTGAATTGAGTTAATTGCCTGTCCATGAATATGCTTTTTGTATTGGCATGGCTGCTGGATATCTGCTAATTTCGTTGTGTTCTGTGTTATAAGACATGTGTGATATTACAATGAGTATGAAGAATATTTAAAGAATATTTGCATGTCATTAACGTAAGCCTTTATTGTCTTTTTACAACAGATTAAAAAACGCTGATCAGCCGACAAGAAAGGGGCCACTGGGAAAGAAAAGGAAAAAAAATCATCTGCTTTTCAAAATCATGGATCCACGTTTCCAATTTTAAATGGCTCTCTCTCTCTCTCCGTGTTAGGGGAGTTTTTAGAGTTAACGCTACTTTTAAAGTGCATTGCATTATTTAAGAAAAAGAAACATTTGTTATCTTTAACATAAACAAGTGTTATGTTATATGGTTATATAACAAAACAAATTATGGATGTATAGTATAGGTTTTTTCCAAGATTAAGATTCATCTAGAATGCCTCATTGATTATAGCAAAATGATGAAATGGTATTTTTAATAGAGATCAAATAATTTCTTTTGAGGCAATTCTTAACTACTGTATTATATTTGTATTGGTATATTGAAAGCATTTTGCAGACCCAGAAGAGAATAAATAATATAATAATTATAAAAGGAACCATACTATGGGAAGAGGTCACCCTATTAAATTGCTATGGGGGTTAAACTCATTTTTGATAAGCATATAAAATATTTAGTTTTTGTGGTTAGACTTTTTATACTCAATTTGAACTCAATTGAAGTATTACAACCATATCCTTGCAGGTATAGGAAACAGCTGCAATATGATTTTAATATTTGCAATATATTAGTGTTTTCAATGTATTCTGACAATGGAAAAGTACCTAACCGCATGTCTGCATTACACCTATGACCCAGACTGTCAGTATTGCAAACCCTATATGAAGACTTTGCTTTCACTGTTTATGTATACACCCCTAGACAACCGTGCTATACATGCACAATAAATCTTCAAAAGCTTATTAATATTATATCTGTGTGGTACAAAAAGAGGTGTACACAAAGAGGGGGTGTGAGTTAGGTCATCTCGACCTGCATATGGAATATGCTTCCTCCTTGTTCCTCTTTTGGTCAAACTGTTGGTCTGTGACTGGCCCTCTTTGACCCCAACTTAATTTTTTGGGAAGATTCATGAGAAAGATACGGCAGGTTGTTTTGATATGAAGAAAGAGGGAAAAGTATGTTGTATCGGTCACAAAAGGATTGTGATCTTAAGCAGGCGAGACAAGGACATTTGGGAGGAGATAGGAGATCGAATCAGAAAAGTTTTGAAAGCAGAGGTAGAGGATCTAACTTTTGTAGAGGTGGTAACTTCAGCACTGTTTTAATTATGGATAGCAGGGATTTACCCCAAGGTGCTCGTGGTGAACCCGGTTCTCCCGGTCAAGCTGGCCCCACTGGTATTGCTGGTGTCCCTGGCTTCCCTGGTGCCTGTGGTGCTCCTGGACCTCAGGGCCCCAAAGGTTCCCCTGGACCTAAAGGTAACAATGGTGAACCTGGTGCTCAAGGAGACAAAGGAGAACC